AAGATAGATTCAGATAAACACCAAATGAGATATTTAGATGATCTGTAAGCAGGTACCTTAAACGAGATGTGCTACTGAGACACTGGATTTGGTCACTAGAATTGAACCTTTTGGGCCCATTTTTACAATCACCCACTTTGATCCCTTCCCATTCCTAAGAATTTCTTGTCCTGCTTTTACAGGATTCCTGATGCCAGTTAGAGACTCCGCCTGAGTATTTCATCAAACAAGTCAGCAACCATTTGATCAGTTAACTTATTATTACCAATACAGATTACCATATTTTAATTACACAGACACACTGCATCACTAGGCTGAACACGCTACGACCAAGAGAAAGGTAGTGTACATGAAGCAACAATTAAAACGTACCTCCTCAGAAGTTAGTAGAAGAACATCACTCATTCTTAATAAATGGGCAAGTGCTCTTCGCTCATCAGGAGTTCCCTTGGAAAGACTCTTTTGAGCTTACTTGTATTCAGCAAAAAACGTTGATGATGATGATGTTGGTTGATGATGATGATGTTGATGATGATGATGATGTTGATGACATACTCTTTATTTTTCTTGGGAGAGAGGGTGAGAGAATAACCGCAAACAACACTCTATAAAGGTAAGGTACGTACACTCACACAACACACAACACGCAAAAAAAAAATAGGAGAGAGAGAAAAAAAAAAAAGACAAAATGAGGAAAGGATTGTTTGATTTCTGTGTGAAGATGATGAAAGCTGGAAGGAGGGTGATCGTTCCTAAGTTGAAGAGAGTGATGGAGACTGTGTTTGGTAAAAATCTCTATTATTTTCAGCAAAAATCATCTTCTCTACCTCGTTTGACTCTGTATTAATTTTTTGTTTTTGTATGGTGTTTAAAGGGAAGAGCGAGGCAGAACAAGAAGAGCGTTTGAAGCTCATCCTGGACATGTTCAAAAGAGCACAGCCTTCAGTCTCACCTTCAATCTCTCTTCTTGTTCTGCATCACTCTTCCCTTTAAGAGCATAGTCAAACGTAGAGATGATTTTGCTGAAAATAATAGTTAATATTTAGAATGTTATTACCAAAATAAGCACCAGTCCTTCTCTCAGGATCAGAGACCTTCCTCTCAGCATATAATAAGCACCAAACACACACACACCAAAAATTACAAACACAAACTGCACAAAAAGTGTACTACTGACTTACCCTTTGATAAACTCGAGAGCTTGGTGATTGACATAACCAGCTTCCACAAAGCCAGGGTGTCGATAATGTTAATAGTGAAGCCTCCCATTGTTCTTGAAACCATCATTGTTTGTAATGTTGTTAATCAGCAATCTGCAGGTGTTTCATCTCCTAAATCAATCATGATAACTAGATTTTGATCCGCGCAACCGCGCGGGTGTTTGTTTTTGTTTATAATTAGTTATATAAACATTTTGTTTTCATTTGTAAATTGGTATATATTATAGTAATCACATATTTACGATATGTATAGTAAATGTTTTTCAAACATAATAATATTATATAATACGTATTTTAATCAAATAGATTGTTTCAAATTTTCTATATTATACATGTTTTTCAAACATGTGTTTGTTTCTTTTTCTATATTTTATTGTTTCTTAGATTAGTATTTCATTTTTAGATAAAGTAATATAAATAGATATTGATTAAATATTAGTATACTTTAATTTGCAAAGATAATATAAACTTCGAAGAAATTTTTCCTAAAAACTAAACTTATAGCTTAGTAAATTAATATTTTAAAGAATTTTCTTAAAAAAGAATTTTTTAAACAATTCTTTTTTTAAACAACATAATTTTTAAAATTTACATCGAAATAAATTTATCTAGTATATATAGCGTGTAAATTTTGTTAGGGTATATAAATATTCCATATTACTAATCTGTGATTTTTGTTAATATATTGTGGATGCATTTAACTATTATTGACATATTTCCTTATAAATAATAGAAGATTCCTAAACTTATATCTATTGACATATTTTGCGTGACTAAGTTGGAAGGTGTGGGGTAATTTAACAAAACCAAATTGTTAAGCGTATTTTTGTTATTATAAATATGATTTTTCATAAAATATAATAATGATAAGATTAATAGAGATATAATGTAACATTTAATAGAGATTAATAGATTTTGACCCGCGCAACCGCGCGGGTATTTGTTTTCGTTTATAGTTAGTTATATAAACATTTTGCTTTCACTTGTAAAACTGATATATATTATAGTAATCACATATTTACGATATATATAGTAAATGTTTTTCAAACATAATATATTATATAATACGTGTTTTAATCAAATAGATTCTTTCAGTTTTTTTATATTAGACATGTTTTTCAAATATGTGTTTGTTTCTTCTTCTATATTTTATTGTTTGTTAGATTGATATTTCATTATTAGATAAAGTAATATAAATAGAGCTTGATTAAATATTAGTATACTTTAATTTGCAAAGATAATATAAACTTCGAATTTTTTTTTTTTGCTAAAAACTAAACTTATAGCTTCATAAATTAATATCATAAAGAATTTTATTAAAAATGGATTTTTAAACAATTTATTTTTTAAACAATATAATTTTAAAAATTTACATCGTCATAAATTTATCTAGTATATATAGCGTGTAAATTTTGTTAGGGTATATAAATATTCCATATTACAAATCTGTGATTTTTGTTAATATATTGTGTATGCATTTAATTATTATTGACATATTTCTTTACAAATAATAGAAGATTCCTAAACTTATATCTATTGACATATTTTGCGTGACTAAATTGGAAGGTGTGGGGTAATTTAGCAAAATCAAATTGTTAAGTGTATCTTTGTCATGACTTCTGTTTTAATATATAAGATATAAAGGCAAGAAGAGAACCACTGAAGCTGTTCAAAGAATCCGTCATGCCTTCCCTACGATTATTTCACTACTCTTCCTTCTTCCTAACTTGTTATTGGTTTTTAACTTGTTGGTTGGTTTTTAACTTGTTATTACTAGACTAAAATATATTCAAGACTAAAATATATTCAAGAGCTGTGATGAAATTGGCTTAAGCGAAGGTTGGGTCCTCCGCACTCATCTGATGCCAGATGATATCCACCGCACTGGGCTCTTTTTTTTGGTTTCAAAAAATTTATTTTCGGTAATATCATAACTGATTTAATCAAAAAAAAAATCCAATTGATTTCCACAAATCTTTAACTTGCAAGCTGTTTTATGGCTTATGGCAACAGTCCTATCTATTTATTGATTGTTGTTATCAGCACTGAATCCACATTTGATTGGTAACAAAATAGTAGTATACTTTCCCCTTATAATATCATTACCTATATAGTGTTTTGCTATACAAACCTCTTACTTGATGAATACCGTGTTTCTTATGATTCACATACAATGTATATACAATACATACATAGACTTGAAAGTTTGGCCTCACCTCAGCTGCATGTCTTTCATGTGGGTCTTGTCTGAAACTTCTGCTGCTTTTTATTTGTGCAAGCCACCAGAGTCTGTTTCTTGTCACTAAGAGCTTTTTAAATGTAATCTGCAACTTGAAGTTCATGAAGTCTGTCCCGGTTGCTCCTTATAACTCTAGCTTTGTCCCCTCTTATCTCTAAAACCTGAAAAAAACAACACAAAACCAGTTACCATCTCTAAAAATAGTTTGTACAAAGACATAATAGCAACTAATCAAAAGAGCCAAGATTGTTACAAATACCTCTGGTCTAGAGTCCAGAACACCACTGGACATTCCTACATCAACTCTCCATATGCCGCAACCATATTCACTACCAAGACAAAAAGCATATTTCATTACATAGTTTTAATAGAATCTTGTGTTTAAGATATTTGGGAATAATGAGTTTTGATAAATGCACCAGTTTACGCCTGATAACTGAGGAGTATGTCCTACCACCATCGCCTTGGCACCAACAGCTTCAAGAGAGTCCCGGAGAATTTTACTTACCTAGATTAGAAAAAGTATCCAGGAAACACATTCAACCCAAGCTGAATATGATTTAACAGTTTACAGGATTCTGGTGACAACTTACCTGTTCAATTTGATATTCATTCAGATCAGAGGTCTCTCTTGAGTAAAGCCTGCTCCAAACCACACTATCATACCCTCGAGTTGCAATAAATGGCATCTCAGGACTATCTTCATCGTCACTAGAGCTCTTCATCCAAGTAGAGACTTCTCTGTTTATCCTCTCTACACCATATGCAACTGTATACAAAAGTACACATCGTAAGGAAAGAGTTCAAAATCCAAAAGAAAACTGATTATGTTTGTTACCGTGGTGAGGAAGGAGACCACCGTGGCAGAACACCCAGTTGTTAACACGCAAGATAACTCCATGACGAGCCAACTCACATGCTAAACGACCACCTGGTCTGAAAAGGACTGACCTTGCAATCACTCCCTTTTGCCTCTGTCCTAATAGTTTTTTATTTCCAACGACTTAAATACAGAACTTTAGAATAACTCAAGAGAAGGCACAACAAATATTAAGTACCTTGACTACATTCCATTGATCCCAATAGGTTTGAGAACTCTTCCTATCTTCTTTAAATTGTCTTGACTCGAAAATCCAATTCTTAAAAGCTTTGTCATAGTCTTGTGCATAGTCCTCCAAGTAGTCAAGAAAGTCTATACACTCATCAAACGCTCTCGTGTCTACGTATCTGAAGTCTCCTTCAACGTTCATCGTCTCATGGTTCCCATTAACCTTTAATTGCTATGTGTTAGTCCTATCTTTCTCTGTAACACATATTAATCAAACTCAAAAGCATTCAAACCTGGAAAACAGCTCCACCGTTAGCTTTGGCCTGTTCATCAAGTAACCTCAATAAGGAGAGTATTGCAATCTCATCCTCGCCACGATCCAGTATATCTCCTACTTGGACTAATACCTGTAATTTTCATGTTTTAATCTCACATACGTTGGAACTTCAAAGAACTCAAGAGGACTTATAAGTCAAAAGATCTTATTACAAACCACTGAGATCTTAAACATTAAGACAGCACTTTAGAAACAGATTAATTAGAACAGGTTGCTTCAAAGACAAGCATAGTATCATCAATTTGGTAAATGATGAAAAAGAACATACAGTGTCTTCACCAATCCATTGGTCTCTTCCGTCGGAGCTTAAAACACCGGCAAGCTGAAGGGCATCTCTGGCTTTACTCAGATCTCCGTGAAGGTCTCCGACTATGCATACCATAAGAAAACCCAATAAAGAGCAAAAACTCAAAAAAAAAACATAAAAATCTCAACTTTGCTGTCGTATGACTGACTATAAAGACTAGATTTTTAGTGACGAACCAGCGATGATACGGCGAGAAGGAGCAGAGACGAAAGTGGGTGGGTCTCCATTGATGACGATCGGTTTCAGAGCAACTTCGTTAGAGCTAGAAGTGCTCAACAAAGAGGAAGGAGAGGGTTCAAGAAGTTTCTGGGGATGAGAAGCAGGAAGAGGGAGTAAGGAGTTGAGGTAAAAGGAAGTCATTGGTTGTGAAGGAAGGAGGAGCAGTGAATGATCCAACGGAGGTTTGATGAAAGTTGTGACTTGGGGTTCAAATGCATGCTTGCTGAGTAATCCTTTGTTTAGCTATCTTCTGGCTCAGATTTTTTCGCTGAAATATTGTTTTTTATATAAATAAAGTAAAAGGTGAGCCACAAAGCGAAAAAGAAAATAAAAGTAAGATATGGTTTTTCTTCTTCAGAGAGAATTTGAAAGGGTGTTAAAAAAAAATGAAACACATCTTCATTTTGTATCATTTACATTTTTCTTACATACTTTTATTTTATTTTTGATACATAAATATAGATCATGTATTAATGGGTAATTCTCTCAAACTAATTTTAAGTTTTTGTCACAAAAATAGTCTTCAAGAAATAAAATGATCAAATAATCCTTTTTTATTTTAAAATTTGTAATATTTATTTTTTATTTTAAAAATTTAAAACTTAAAACTTAAAACTTCACCTTTTAACTCTAAACCATAAGTCTAGATTAGTTAACTCAATTGTATAAATACATATTTCTCTTTTCATAAAAAATTATTTTTAACCATTTTTTTTCCTGGATGCTATTTTTGTGAAAATAAATTAAAAAAGGTTATCCAATAGAATTTCTCTATATTAATTTATGAAAATATATCCTCTGTTTAATAAGATAAAGAAAAAAATTCTGTAAACATATAATAATTAAAACTATATGAATTAAAGTAGAATTTGTATTTATATAAAATAATACAAGATTTTTTAATTATAAATTTCATTTGTATAGTGTTTGCATATGTTGCACAAAAAGTATAGTGTTTTCATATATATCTTAATCTACTCTATTAAAATAGAGTCATTAATTTTATCTACTACAAATAAGTCATATAGGACCATTTCATTTATTACTTAGTATAACATATTAAATTATTTAGGTTAATCAATTAAATATATATCATATATGCTGAAAATAATATAATTACATTCTATTTTTAGTTATAACAGAATCGATTGAAAGAAAATCTAACAAAATCTTACTAAAAGTTTAAATATTTCATTATTAATTAACATAATAATGAATTTCGTAATTAATAATATAATAATATTATACATTAATATTAATTAAAATTTCACTATATTAACAAAAAAAAGAATCCTATACTATTTTATAAATTTTAAAGTAAAAAATTAAAGAATATTATATATTAATAATGTTGAATAAAAACCTACACCAAGTAGATTATAAATTTACACAATATATAACATAAAAATATAAATTATATATTTCAAATATTTACATTAATATTAAATAAATTTTAAAAAATGAAAAATATACCCGCACGAACGTACGGGTAAAAATTCTAGTTATTATTATGCGTCGAACAAAAAAAAAAGTATTATGGAAAATAAAATGATATATATTAGATGGGCCGCCAATCTCAGATTGTTACAAATACATCTTCAAAGAGAATTTGAAAGGGTGTTCAAAAAAAAAATTGAAACACATCTTCATTTTGTATCACTTACATTTTTCTTACATAATTTTATTTTATATTTGATACATAAATATAGATCATATATTAATGGATAATTCTCTCAAATAACTCTTTTTAAATTTTTGTCACAAAAATAGTTCTCAAAAAATAAAATGACCAAAATAGTTTTTTTTTTTTTGAAATTTGCAAGATTTATTATGTATTTTTAAAAAATTTGAAATCCTAAACATAAAACTTCACCCTTTAACTCTAAACAACCATAAGTCTAGATTAGTTAACTCAATGGTATAGATGCATATTTCTCTTTAAATAAAAACTTATTTTTGTTATTTTTCTTTTTGAATGCTATTTTTGTGGGAAAAAAAAAATTAAAATAGTTATCCAAGAAAATTTCTCTATAGTAATTTATGAAAATATATCCTCTGTTTTATAAGGTAAAGACAAAAAAAAATTCTGGAAACATATAATAATTAAAACTATATGAATTAAAGTGGAATTTGTATTTATATAAAATAATACAAGATTTTTTAATTATATATTTAATTTTGTATAGTGTTTTCATATGTTGCACGAAAAGTATAGTATTTTCATATATATCTTAATTATTATTATGCGTCGAACAAAAAAAATATTATGGAAAATAAAATGATATATATTAGATGGGCCGCCAATCTCAGTTTGTGTTACAAATATATATTCTCAGATTATGGATGTCAAAAATTACTACATGTTCAGTGGCCCATAACTAATTTCCACGTAAAATGCAAGGAAACAGAAGTCACTGGCTAATTAGAAAGTTGACCAACTCTTACCAAAAAAAAAAATTAGAAAGTTGACCAACACCGAAAACTCAAGACCAAGTCATTGGCGCATGACCAAATTCCCCACCATGCATGCTGATGCAACGATTAATTTAGGGTATTAAACAAACCGATCAACAAGTAACGCGGTTGGTAAAGTGCGTTCACGTTCTGTAAACAACAAACCAAACCGAACCAAAAAATAAATTAGAAACAAAGACAAAGTCGTGGTCGTCGCAATATAAAATTACAGACATAATCAAAATACAAACAGAAGCACACAAGTCAGACATGCTTCCCGCGTCTAATCACATTCTCCCGAAGACTTTTCCAATATCATAATCTTAATAGAGAGAGTTTCGTCTTTATTCACATAATCCACAAATTATTTTTATTATCTCCAATCAAACATCTATGGCTGAAGCCGGCGATGAGAATCTTTACGCAGCCGCCAGAGACATCGCCAGAGCTCTCGGCAAGGACCCTAGCGCCGCCGGTGACATCTTACAGATTCTCTCCGGCTATGGCGCCACAGGAAACACAAGCAGCAACTCTCGAGCCAGCGCATCCCGCGGCGACTCTAACCTCAACCTTGACCGATCACTTAACTTATTAGAGAGACAGATCTCTAGCTACATCGTGGAGGATCGACCGATCTGGTCTGACCCCGTTGACTCGCGGAATTTCCTTGACGCTGTTGATGAGCTGATAGCGATGGCTGGAGACTTGAGATCCATGGCCGGAGATAAATCTGTCGCTATATGTCTCTCCCGTGCCGATGAGCTGATTCAACAGGTGATGTTTAGGCTTCAAGAGGAGTTTGGATATGTTATGGACCGAGCCACCGAGTCGTTTGACTCGGACGACGAGTTCTCCGGTGAAGAAGACAACGACATAACCTACGACCAGGTACTTAATGAATATACGCAAATATATTTAGTTACTAAATACAAAATCCACATTAACTTTTCTCATCATGTTGACAATCCGGTTTAGATTCCATGTGAGTTTGGTTTAAATTATCGGTCCAAGTTGACTCGGTTTGGTTTCGGTTAAGACTGTGGTAGTAAAAATTTTACAACATCTAACAAATTTTGTGTCTCTTCAATCATTCAGAAATATTAAAATGGATTCAAAATATAATTAGTTATCACGTCTACGTTCAATATATTTTAAATACAATCATCTAACAAATTTTGTGTCTATTCAATTATTCAGTGGTATTAAAATGGATACCACTTTGTTTTTCATTTTTTGTAAGAAAAAATATTTTGGTTATGAGTTTGGTTTAAATATTGTTACTTCAACTTGATTAGGTTTGGTTTTTTACCAGGTTATCGTTGCCCGTCCCGTGACGGACTACAAAATCGTGATTGAGCCGTTACATTCTAGCGTTATTGGCGACCTAAACGCGATCGCTGTGAGGATGGTCGCTGGTGGATTCGGAAAAGAGTGTTCACGAGTTTACAGCAGTCGACGTAGAGAGTTTCTAGAGGAGAGTTTATCGAGGTTACATCTCAGAGGGCTAAGTATGGAAGAAGTTCAAGACTCTCCATGGCAAGACCTCGAAGACGAAATTGACCGTTGGATCAAAGCCGTTACAATGGTGTTCCGCGTTTTCTTCCCTAGCGAGCGTCTTCTCTGCGACCGCGTTTTCTCCGATCTCCCTGTCTCATCCGTAACCGATCTTTCCTTCATGGAAGTTTGTCGTGGAACGACCACACAGCTTTTAAACTTCGCAGACGCAATCGCTCTAGGGAGCCGTTTGCCTGAACGTTTGTTCAAGGTTATGGACTTATACGAAGCGGTTGAAGACCTGATTCCAAGAATGGAAACGCTGTTCTCTAATAAATACTGTTCACCGCTGAAGCACGAGGCGGTTGCGATTCAGAAACGGTTAGGTGAAGCGGTTAGAGGGATATTTATGGAGCTAGAGAATTTAATCCGTCGTGACCCTCCCAAATCCGCGTTTCCTGGCGGTGGGATTCACCCTATCACACGGTACGTTATGAATTATCTCCGTGCGGCGTGTAAATCGCGGCAGTCCTTGGAGCAGATCCTCGACCATACCGGGGACGTAACCGGATCAGAGACAAGACCTTTGTCTGTGCAAATCGTATGGGTTTTGGAGTTGTTGGAGAGTAACTTGGAAGGCAAGAAAAGAACGTACCGTGACCCGCCTTTGTGTTTCTTGTTCATGATGAACAATGGTAAGTATATTCTTGATAAAGTCACGGATAACGAGCTTGGTTCGGTCCTAGGAGAAGATTGGATTGTTAAGCATGCAGCGAAACTGAGGCAATACCATTCTAATTTCTTAAGGAGCTCGTGGAACCAAGTCGTGGCGTTGCTTAGGACAGAGAGTCCTTATCCTAAGTTGATAGAGAATCTTAAACTGTTCAAGGCGCGGTTTGATGAAGTGTGTTTGATGCAATCTGAATGGGTTGTCACTGATGAGCAATTGAGAGAGGAGTTGAGAAGCTCCATCGCCGGGATTGTGTCTCCGGCGTACTCAAGTTTCATCGGAAGGTTGAAGGCGTCGCCGGAGATTAATGGGAGGCGTGGAGAGCCGTTTATTGCGTATGCTGTTGAAGATTTGGAGTTGAAGATTAAGGGGTTGTTCAAAGAACGCTAAAGTTGATTAAATTTAATATGAAAAAAAAAGAAAAAGGATAATTAATCTAAAATCATGTAACATTATTGTGGATCCTGTTAAATAATATATTTTTTTGTTTGGTGAATGTTGATGGAATTAAAAAGTAACAATATACATCAAAGAATAGAATTAATCATATGAATACATTAACTGTATAACCAATAAAAT